CCTTGTGTAGTTTTGTGCATAATTAAAAAAAACAATCTATATAATCAAAGATAAACTTAATTACTTTATTGTGAAGACAAAGTAGTGATAAAAAATTAATAATTGATTTTAAAACGTTAAGCTTAATACCTATAGTAACAGTGTTGACAATAGGCTATCATTATTGAGACTATATAATTGAGTATTTCCAGGCTACAACTAAAGGGGCTATCAGAGATGTAGTTTTTGTTGTGCACGTAGGGGCTAATGATGTAGGGAAAGGTAGGCCAGAGGAGCTAATTAATACGTGCTAGGGGTTGATAAAGGCATTTAATTTAAATAAAAAAGCCATAACTTAATTTTTTCTGGGATACTGCCCAGAATTAACTGTGGGAATGAAGTTATAAGTAGGTCACTTAGGTTAGTATGTAAGGATGAGCAGATTGGCTATTTGGACTTGTGTGATCAGTTCAGTGGAAGAAAGGGGGCTTTTGGGAATGGATGGTTTACATTTAAATAGGATAGGGCTAACTTGTTTGTTATGGCTATTCATTTAGCTATAAGGGAAGTTTTGAACTAGGGCTAGACAGTGGCGAGGGCCAGGATAAACTAAATGCAAGAGGAATAAGACTAAGAGACAGAGAAAAGTTTAGCATAGGAAATGAGTATAAAAGTAGTAATATGAGTAGACTTAATTGTTATTATTTTAATGCTAGATGTATAATAAATAAAATAGGTGACTTTAGAGCATTGGTAAGAATGAAACATTTTTATATAATGGGAATAACTGAAACATGGTTCAATGTAGATGATTTTGATGACAGAAATTTCTTTGAAATACAGGGTTACAGACTATTTAATGGGAATAGATTATTAAAGGGGGAGGAGTGGCTTTATATGTAAAATGTGAGTTACATCCTGTTGAAGTTAAGGGTGTTAAAGATAGTAACTCCATTTGTGTTTCTATTAGTGGATATAAAGGGACAAGGCATTTAGTGGGAATTTGAAACAGACCACCAGATGATACTGATGAAATTAGTGAAAAAAGTTAAAATGATATTAAGTTTTCAGCTGTTAATGAAGTCATAATTATGGATTATTTTAATTTCAGGCATATAGATTGGGAAATGCTAGAGTCAAACTGTGAGGGAGACAGGTTTTTGGAAACTGTTCAAGATGGCTTTCTACACCAATTAGTCGAGTAACCTACTAGAAGCAATGCTTGTACAAAACCAGAAAGAATAATACACGATGTAAATACATGTGCTGGCCCATTGTACAGTACCAGAAAGTACGATACATGATGTAAATACACATACTAACCCATTGTACAATACCAGAAAGTATGATACATGATGTAAATACATATACTGGCCCATTGTACAGAACCGGAAAGTATGATACATGATGTAAATACACATACTAACCCATTGTACAATACCAGAAAGTATGATACATGATGTAAATACACATACTAACACATTGTAGAGTACCAGAAAGTATCATACATGATGTAAATACATCTACTGACCCATTGTAGAGTACCAGAAAGTATCATACATGATGTAAATACACATACTGGCCCATTGCACAGTACCAGAAAATATCCCATATGACGAGAATACAAATTGTCTAATCTATTAAACAATTTTTCATGATGATCTGAGAAAGTATTTTAACAATACAGATATCTGTAGGTATGATGTTTCTCGTGATTTTTTGGAAAAGTGGCTTACCAATAATGTTATATGCATATGTAAAACATAATACTTATTATACATATGTATGCAATTTTGAATTGTCTTTTATTCACCACAGGGAACTTATATTTATAAAGGATTGGAAACATATGTAACATTGATGGTAAAAATTTATTATTGTCTTGAGAATTATTTAGTGAACAGGCTGCTTGAAATACAAAAATAAATATGGCTGATGCCCAAACTGTCATTCAAATGAATTATTAACATCGGACAATGAAACGTGAATTCCATATTAAGACATGTTGGTTAATTCGCCAGATGCAGCACCTATGGATTTCTGTATGATTAGCTGTTGAAAAACCGTCGTTCACTCGATGGAGTATGGAAACCATGCAGCGACGAGTGGTGTGCTTTCTAAATATGGACTTTACGATGGGAACTACACTGCAGAACTACTGTCCGATAGAGCATGACTGGACGAGGCAACAAGGACGGTAACGACGTGTAGTACTTTGAGCCTGGTATTTTAGTAAAACATCAGATGAATACATATTAGACTTTTCTACCACCTAAGGAAGTTTATGATCGCCTGTAGTTCGTCATTTCTTGTTTTCGTGAAACAGCATATAATGTGTGAATTATACTAGTTTACTATCTAGTATTTCCAGAAAACACAAATATTTCAGAAAGACACATATTTAGTTAAATGTAATGAAGTTTACAGCCTAATGTATACTTCATTAAAACAGTAAATAGAAACAAAATAGAACAGTCTACGGCCGAGTGTTTCGGATTTTTCCTTAACGACAGAATAAATAGAATGACTGATGTCTAGGCTAATAGATGGAAGAAAGTAGGTAAAACATTTAAGAATGTGCGGGAGAAATGTCTGTAATTTGTACGAACACCAGACCACGTAACTTTCTCCACCCTTAACCAATCAATAGAAGAGGTAACTAGAGCGCGCAGTCAACCTGCTTCCTGCAAACCTAGAATGACTTTAGCAACGTTATGTGAAGGACAACATGTTGAAAGAATAAGATTCACTGGGAAGGAAGCTGGTAAAGAAACCACCACTACAGGTAAGGAATATTCAAATATTTGCCATTATTATTTCTGCCACAAACTTTACAAGTGACAGATAGTACAAAACTAAAGAGCTAAAATAAGGTAAATTTACTTCTAAGCCTTCTCTCTGACTTGTGGCCATTTTAGTTTAAACACATATCCTCGGAGTCTGAAAAATAACAGATCCTAATATTTTCCCATTACAGAAATGGGTCAAATGTAGTGGTTTGAAAATAGTAAAAGCTTAGAACTTTTCTTTCTATCTCTTCTTCTAATATCAATAGAAAGGATTTAGATATTTGATGATAATAAAGAAGTTATTAAGCTTTTTCTCCCTTGTTTTTCTAAAAATATCAACAGAAATAGTTTAGTGATTTGGAATAATAAATGTGTGTATTTAAGACTTTGTTTTCTATCTTTATTCACAATATCACTACATCAAATTTAATGACATGGGAATCGTAAAGAAATGTTTTAATTTCTGTAACTTTAGTTACATTACCAACAGGTTAAAATAATAAATGTATATTTAATTTCTTAGCTTTACCCATAACATCAGTAGTTACAATATACAAAAGTAAAGAAAAACATTTCAGAAAAGGAAGTAAATGTAGGGATGGCTAATATCAATCCTTCAAACCAATGCAAATAAGATAGTAGGGATGACATTTGCATCATCCCTACATAAGAGCACAGGCACACAGTGTAATTGAATGTTAGCAGACAAAAATATGATAAATTTAACTCAACTGTGATTGAATATTTATATATGTTGTTCTATATTAATTCTTGCCTGTTTGCATTTACTTTTTTCTTTACTTGTTTGCTTGTTTTCTTTTAATGCAGTGTTTCAATAGATATGAAGAGATTGTATTTACAACCAAGTTCTAAATACAATGGGGTTCCAACTGTAATATTCATTGTTTATCTGTTATTGGCTGGTTGTTCCTATTTTACCCTGTTTTTTAAGCCTTTTAAAGGAACACCAAGTTTCTGTAAGAAAGCTAACTTCAAGGGGTAATGATAAGATCGTTTACACTAGAATTATGATTTTTTAATTACTACTAGTTATTAATAATATTTATAAATATGGATATTCTGTTTGAAACTATGTCACCTCAGTGATTTTGGTTAACTCTTTTGGTTTTTGAGTTATCATGTAATAAAAAAGAAGCAGAAGTACAAGAAATTCAAACTTTTTGCTATGATATTTACAGGCATTCCCTGAACTCGTGATTCAGTCATTACATAGATATTGTTATAAAAGGAAACACTTTTTAGTATTATAAAGTTCTGATGACCTACTGAGGAGATATTTTAAAAAAAAACATTTCGATGAACAATCCAAGCCATTCCTACATAGGCAGTGCTACTGTCTGCCTGATATATATTGTGAAAGTAGTGACGTTTGAGGATAAAACTTTTGTGCATTATTTTTATTAAACTATGATATACAATACATATATATATATATATCCTAAACTAGTATAGTTTGAGGGAAAAAATTGTATGTATTGTTTTTATTAAGCTATGATATAAAATAAATATCCTAAACTAGTAACGTTTGAGGGTAAAGGTTGTGTGTATTTAATGTTTTATCTTTAACTAATAATCAAGATATATATTCTGAATATTGAAACATCTAAGTGCAAAGAGAATAAGTGAATGTCCTTTGTGTGTCGTGTTTGTACAAGTGTAGTACAAAACTAAAGACGAAAATGTTTATATAAGTAACGTTCCTACAGCTTCTATCAATCTAGTTTATTTTTATGGTACTTGTTTTCTCAGAGAATTGTGTTAGACTTTATCGATTTCTCTTGTAGATGTTGTTCCTGTTTTATTTATTCGTGCCACACCTACTATACCAGGTTTTCTTATTTCACTCTTATATTTGTCACACACCCTGACTAGCGATATTTCAGAAATGAGCTCTAGCTTAACGCCCACAGATCGAGCGAAAAGTATCTGTATTTTGAGAAGATCCGCTGTCGTTGTTTCTAGATGTTGACAAATCCGAAAATTATTGATCGAATACATTGTGTGGTAACAAAGTTAATGGCGTCACTGTAGAACAAAATGGTTGTACATCTTTTCTATAATCCTTCAAAACTTCGGGTATTATTTCATAGAGTTTTCACTTCTTCGGAATAAGCCACAAATAATATTTTATTACACAATTACGAGATGTATAAGAAGAGCGTTTAGGTTTTTAATATGTTTTCAGATTGGATATAAAATGGTTGTTGTCAATAGGGTAGAAAATCTCCTTTTCGTTCTTCATAGAAGAAGATGCAAACATAGTAAAAGTCTTCGATGACAAGTGGTTCATATATCAATGGTTCACTATCATACTTTATGCTTCCACTGCTAAATTAGGGACGACTAGCGCAGATAGCCCTCGTGTAGCTTTACGCGAGATCCATAACAAACAAACAAACCTTCCATCTTCACAATAAATCTGTTAACCGTAAACATCAATACTTGTAGTATCATCCCTTAGCCTCACTATAATACTACTGCATTGAAACATCGCTGCATGTATTGCCACACTTTTCTATAATACTACTGTAGAAAAACTTTACTATTTGTAGTATCACCTCTTATCTTCACTATAATCATACTTTAAAAATCTTTAGTGTTTATACTTTCACTCTTTCAGCTGCCCCCCCCCCCAGTGGCACAGCGGACTTACAACGCTAGAATCCGGGTTTCAATACCCGTGGTGGGCAGAGCACAGATAGCCCATTGTGTAGTTTTGTGCTTAATTACAAACAAACTCTTTCAGCTGTACAAGACAAGTCATTTATCAAGAATGGTCACACTTAAATAAAATTTTAACCCGGCATGGCCAGGTGGTTAATGCGCTCGACTCGCAATCTGCGGGCCGCGGGTTCGAATCTCCGTCACACCAAATATGCTCGGCCTTTCAGAAGTGGGGGCGTTATAAAGTGCTGGTCAATCCCAATATTCGTTGGTAAAAGAGTAGCCCAAGTGTTGTCGGTGGGTGGTGATGACTAGTTGCCTTCCCTCTAGGAAGATGGGAGGTGATACTACAAGTATTAATGTTTAAAGATAGCAGATTTATTGTGAAGCTGAGAGGTGATACTATAAGTATTGATGTTTAAGAATAGCAGGATTATTGTGAAGATGGGAGGTGATACTACAAGTATTGATGTTCAAAGATAGCAGGATTATTGTGAAGATAGGAGGTGATACTAAAAGCATTGATGTTTAAGGATAGCAGGATTATAGTGAGGTTGAGGGATGACAATACAGAGGTTAACACGAGAAGTAAGACTACAAATACTGAAGATGGTCAGTGAGAAGATTGTGGTGAAGATAATTGTGAGATCAAAAGAACTCTTTTATATTGGAAGCAGAAATATCGTGAAAATGAGCGATAGGATATAAAAGAAAATATTAGTGGATATCAATGTAGAATAATAGGAAGATACACGGATAGATCAGCTTTAATACTGGTTGTACGAGTTGAGCAAAATGGGTTACACAGATAGGCCGTTTTTACGTGGAGGTTATATGTGTTGATTAGTTTTCACTGTCGAAAAGTTACCACTTACTTGAATATTTGTTGCTGTAAAATGTTTATTTCATACAACTTTTCGTGTTCTTACATTAAAAATTAATTTAAAAGAATTATCCGAAGTGTATAGTTTAATATCGTTTAATGGAACTTTCGGGGTGGATATGAAAAATTAAAAAAAAAGGCCTTAATTTTGCACACTGTAATCGGCATATACTATCAGTTTCTCTTTTATTTCGTAATAGTAGCGTTTTTAGGTAATTGTCTGGCGAATAAAACAGAATGTATCTTTCTTTGACAGTTTATTTGGGGTTATTACGCTAATGGAACAATTTTCGGCTTTGTTGCAGCCATCAGAGGTATTGCTGTATTTTATGTACTCGCTTCGAGTTAATTGTTCCCAAAATAAAAGTACGCTTACAATAACCTAATGATAAATGTGCTTTCATCCTTGAACATGGGTTCTGATGTAGACAAGGCAGTTTTATTGATAGGTTGAACTTTGAAAGAGAGAGTTTAAAGTATTAAATGTCAAATTTCTGCTTTGCACATGCATATACTTACAGTAAGGTCTGACATGTCCATGTCATTAACCAGAAAATGAGGAAACTGCATTGGAGAAGTAATGCATTCAGTTCTTTGTGTCTTCTACTGTCCGGATCTTTTTGTAGCGCCACCTATGAATCTTTTTCAAAAGGGTAAGTCATTAAGGTTCATTGTTTTGTCTGTAACAATCTCAATCTTAAACAAGATTATAAGCTACCATTTAAGTTGTTATAGCAACAGTTTCTCAAAAGATATTGAAAAAAAACTTAGTAATTGCAAATAACCCTGATTTAATTTGTATGGATTAAGGCCAGCAATCTCCAATAATATATTTCAGTGATGTTTTCTGTTTCTCTTTGTCTATAACTGCTTTTAAGTGTTATGTTATTCTAAAAATAAAATAAAATAGGAAATATTTGATTTTAGCAACAAAACTGACCTTGAAGACACTAAGTGATCTTAAGCTCAAGACAGAGTTGACTTTAAAGATACTGAAGACACTTAATAACGGGTTTGATCACTGGCCAATGGAAATTTCTTTACTTCAAGACGTTGAATAATCTGACAATAAATTCGCCGCGAACATGAATTAATGGATTAAAAGGAATATTGTTAAATGCTGTTTAGTTGAGATTATTAAATAAGTGTTATTCTTAAGCCTATTTTATTTTTAAACAGCGATACAGACAAACAGATATTGGACTACCTAGTAGATCCGAGAAGATACGACTACAGAGTACGACCCAATGGTAAGTCTGTCGTAGTCACTATATATTAGGATTGCAGATAGTGACTTCATGGTGAAGATAATGAAGTTTATAGCCTCATATGTAAAGTATGTTCATGTAACAGAAACATTGTCAGAATGAGAAAAACGCCAAGTTTCAAAAAGATCCTATCTATATAAAGTGGCAATGCCAAGCCAAGTTAGGAAACTCAACTATGGCAATCTTGTTATTGTTATCAGTTGTAGAATAGTAATAGTAATTCTAATAATAGTAAAAGCAACTTACACGGTAGCCTCAGTTGTTGTCTTGTCTATCACCTTATATGGCTGTTCTCTTTGTTATAACTAGCATTTCTTCATTATCCACACATCTGAACTCGGTGTTCAACGTCACTGGATTTAAATGTTCTCTGTCAAACAATAGATTAGCCAATGATATAATATATTTCATGTGAAGCTGAAACTTCTCATATTTTCGGAAGAGGCTAATTATTGGCTTACTCTCCAAACAAAGCTATGTCATGCAGCTGGTGAGGTCCATGTTTAGAAGCACATGCTTCGTATTCAACCTATAGTGTAGTCTTGTGGTTAAGATCACATTGTAAGTACGGAACGTTACAGATTCAATGCTGCTTTTTCTTTGTTAGCGAATGCACTTTTTTAAAAACATGAATAAATAGCTTAATATAATCGATATACACCTCACATTAAACGCATTCCCTGATTTGTTTTGCTTTTGAATAACAAGTGAAATTTCGTAAAAGTATGGATGTTTTTAATGTGACTTTCTTTTGCTTTGGCGATTTGTTTGTTTTACTGTTCCTCAATAGATATTTAGCGCACAGTTGTTCTTTCATATACACGTTTGCATTCATAATATGATATTGTCTCAAAATTTACGCAGAATAAACAAAATGATAGTTGGTGATATAGTTATGGTCGTAAATCGAGATTGAAGATACTCAATCATAACCCTTCACTCCTGCCTCGGTTGTTTAACTAGACGTCGTCGTTAGCTTCATGGTACTTATTTAACCAAATTCTTCACTCCTACCTCAGTTGTTTTACTAAACGTCGTCGTTAGCTCCATGCTATTTATTTAACCAGGTTCTTCACTCCTACCTTTGTTGATTTATTAGACGTCGTTAGCTCCATTGTATTTATTTAACCGAATTCTTCATTCCTACCTCGGTTGTTTTACTAAACGTCGTCGTTAGCTTCATGGTACTTATTTAACCAGGTTCTTGACTCCTACCTCAGTTGTTTTACTCAACGTCGTCGTTAGCTCCATTGTATTTATTTAACCGAATTCTTCATTCCTACCTCGGTTGTTTTACTAAACGTCGTCTTTAGCTCCATTGTATTTATTTAACCGAGTTCTTCATTTCTGCCTCGGTTTTTTTATTAGACGTCCTCGTTACCTCACTGGTAATTAATCTTACCAGATTCTTCACTTCTGCCTCCGGTTTTTTCCAGACGTAATAATTAGCTCCATAATTTCATCTACTCACGGTCCTCCACTTCTCTTGCTAGAGATTCTCTAAAAGCAGTTGCCAGAATAATGCTGTTAATCTGCGTCTTCAATAATTATGGTATGTCACTAACTGAAATTCTAATCTAATAGTATATCTATCTAATCAAAAACACCTTATGTATGAAAAAAAGGTGCGGCCAAAATATGATTCAGTGTACGACATAAAGGAATGAAATCAAAATTGGTGGCCAAACTGATAGCTACACTTATAGCATTGATAATAATTTGACAGCAAATATTCATTCGTTAGTTAACCAAGCCATGTTTTTTGTTCAACTTGGGGCATGATAATAACTGTTAAGTACCCTTGTGTATTTTACTTAGAAAATAAGTGATTTCGGTCAGTTCTTTACATTAAGTATTATAACATAAAATTGCTTAACGACATGCGTTATATCGACCCTACCTGTAGTTGACAAAAAACGAACAAGTCGGTCATTTCAGTGTTAATGTATATTTTAAATAATTAAGTTTTACGACAGATTTTCCCGATGACTAAAAATTAGCTACAAGATTTATTTAACATCTAGATACAATATTTTGTCGAAATACCAACACTACTTTGGAAGTAGCTTTGTTAAAATAGTGGAAGAGAAAAATGACAAAGGTATTATATATTCAGTATCTTTACCACACGATCAATAAGTATATATACTGTTGGTAATCGATTAAATGTGTCACTAGGCAATTCTCACTTGTATAGATTAACAACTGCATAATAGCACACGGTTTATCAAATTTGATGATAAAGTTTATCTATGTTACTATATGTGAACTATGGGTTGATTTGAGAATAAATTATACCTCATGTATATAATATTTCACATAATTCAGTGCAATGCACAATACATCATTCATCACAACGAATTATAAAGTTCATCTATATGCATATGACACTTGTTTGATGCATGAAAATGAAATATATTGTCACAATGTCTGATTAAGTAAGTTAACATTAAAAAAATGTGTTTTTAAGTGCTTGCAAAGTTTGAAAATAGGAATTTAAAGCTGCAGATAAATTGTAAAATGCCAGTTAATGTGATAATAATTATTTATTTAAAAATACTGCTTACGTTAGTGTTATAGCCTAATTACTGATAGAGTTATGTTTGAGTAAAGGTCAGCAACCATATTTTTGAGCTAATTTGGAAGTACTGAATCCAAATATTTAGGCAACCAAATTTTCATTTTTCAGAAAAGGTTCAAAATGGAGAATCAAAGTATGACAATCGTTTTCTTGTGTAATTTGGTTTATAATTTTTAAAAGATTTTTTCATATCTTCACAAACCTAGTGATGTTTGTGCAAATCTGTGTGATGTATAAGCATTTCAAGAACGAATTTACCTTTGTTGCCTTTATTGAATACATAGTGAACTATTACGAAAATTATGGTTCGGTAGTATAATGATGGTTGTTAAAAAAACTGGAAAACTTCATTGTTGATTTAATTTTTACCTGTTGAACACTGGGGAACGACAAACATTTTTATATTGAGGGAAAAACCTATTACAAATGTTTACAAATCAAAAACTGAAGAAGACTCAAATTGTGACCGTATTTTGTTTGTGTAAAAGTTGCTACATATCGATTTTATATGATATAGGACAAGGTTTTCCTGTACCTGTCTAAAGTGTACGCCACAGTACTTGTTTTTTCTCTGTCTCCTGCCTTGTCTGGTGATATACAGGACAGGGTTTTCCTGTATCTGTCTAATAAGTACGTCACAGCACTTGTTTTTTCCCTGTCTCCTGCCTTGTTTAATGATATATAGGACAGGGTTTTTCTGTGCCTGTCTAATATGTACGTCACAGCATTTGTTTTTCTCTGTCCCCTGCCTTGTCTGATGATATATATGACAGGGTTTTCCTGTATCTGTCTAATATGTACGTCACAGCACTTATTTTTTCCCTGTCTCCTGCCTTGTTTAATGATATATAGGACAGGTTTTTCTGTACCCGTCTAATCTGTACGTCACAGCACTTGTTTTTCTCTGTCTCCTGCCTTGTCTGATGATATATAGGACAGGGTTTTTCTGTGCCTGTCTAATATGTATGTCACAGTACTTGGTGAACAGCTGAAGTCTTTCGCAATTTTTATTCAACCCAAGCAACATCATATAAAGGTCAAAAGATGTGCTAATTTTATCTATTGTAGCATTTTAATAACCCCACCACACTAGACGATGTTTGAACAAATAAAAACACCTTTTATATAGCGATACGTACCTAAAGCTTGTAGAAAACGGATGCACTTAATGAATACGCGTTGCTTTTCTTTTAAAATTAAAAATTAATTGACTGTGTGGCAGCATATTAAAGTGACTTGCTAATTTTAATGCTTTTTTCCAACATTTTAAACTACGATGACTTCATTTCATAGGCAGAGAAACTCAAAACTACGGGAGCAATGCACACTACTGTATACTACAAGCAATGCGTTTATGTGTACATAGAAGTGTTGTTCAAAGATATATGATTAATAAAGTTGTTCGAGAGAGAAACTAACTCGGTTCTTCTTACGGATAAGTCACTAATTAGGTGATTTAACTATTATTATTTCTCTCCTATATTAGTGTATGTCAACACATTCTTTTTTCTTTACATAAGTCTAAAATCTACATCTGTTTGTGTTAGTGTTATCTATTTTCCTGTAGACAAACAGTTTTAACGTTAGTATAGTTCAGCTGTCTTTGAGAACCAAAGCTTTTCTGCGAGTGTTATCTATTTTCCTGTATACAGTTTTAACGCTAGCATAGTCCAGCTTTCATTGAGAACCTTTCTACTTGTAAAGTTTGCAAATATTTACTTTAGCTTAGTTTCCTTTAGTATATGTACTCAACGTGACTATCATCTTTTCTTTAGAACAAACACTCATAAACGTGAGCGTAGTTCTCCTTTCTTTATCTTCTCCGGACGAATCCAGCCTTGTAAGTAAACTTTTCTTTTTTCGTGCCTTTAAATATAAATTGTTATAGTTGATTTGATATTATGATTTGAGTTATATATATATATATATATTTTTTTTTGGTAGAGGAAACATCGTACGAACGTCATACATGATTACAGGTGTTATAACACTCGAATACAGAGTTACTTTATAACAACCGAACTGTACCTGTTAATACGGAGGTGCGTCAGCCGTACTTTATAAGAACCCAACTGTATCTGCCTCAGCCATGGCCAGATGGATGATATGCTTAGTTTACATTTGATTCCTCACCATTCGAAAGTGCATAAAACTCGAGAAGCAGAGCGTTTAGGACATAATGAACTCCAATCTACAACTCAGAGCGGCATCCTCATCAATAAAGTGAAAATTTTCAAACCCAAAACACCATTCCAATGAAACTGGGCACATCTCCTGATACGTTAACAAAATAATAAGCAAGTTGGTGAAGGCCAAAAATTTGTAACATTTCATTTTGAAATCAACAGTTGTTTTCATAAGCAAGATGGTTGAAGGAACTAAAATCACAGAATTGATCGCATACTTACCAAATTCCCCGATGCAGCTCTAGGGGATTTTTGTGGCCTTGATCAGCCAAAATGTTATTTACGAATCTAATGTACAAGGAAAGTGAAACTTTTCTCGTCGTCCTTCGCAGAATCTGGTTAAATGGGAAATTGGTTAAATGTCAGCTTAGAGAGCGTAGTCGTTGCCATCAGACTGGCTATGGAAGAAGTTTCCAAGTCCATCACAGGATCTATACAAGGAATTCTGTATTCTAAGTTGTTATGACAGCTATTACATATTTATTGTAACCATAAGATAACAATTCCTTAACATTCAGCAAGAAGTCTAAAGTGTGATAGTTAGTGCAGCAGTCTTCAATGCCGTTAAGGTTATCTATAGAACTGACCGTGTTAACATGAAGGACTGTGGGAATATTGCAAGTTGACCGATTTCTGGTATTCGAAACTCAGGAATAGGGTGGGAAAAGAGAGTGTGAGAAACATGATAATTAGTGTGGTGGGACGGACAAAAGTGGCTTTAGAAGTAATAAATTACATTTTTATAGCCTACTATAGTCTTCATTATTCTTGCCACCTTTCCTTTTTAAAATAATTTCTCTATTTCTTTCCAATCTTTGTCTAGGGGTGAATTGAACACAAGTAAAAAATGTGAAAGTTAGTGAAGTGACGTGATAACATAGAGTGATTTCAGTGGTTGAAGATGTGACTGATCCTCGGTGTACGAAAACACAGAATAGGACCTTGAGAAATGTTATAATTACAAGAGGGAGAGAGGTGTCCTTCCCACCATACTAATTATCATGTTTCTCAAACTATCTTTTCCCGCCCTATTCCTGAGTTTCGAATACGAATATCGGAAATCGGTCAACGTGTAACTTTCCAACAGTCCTCTATATTGTCACGGTGAGCTTCTGTAGACAATCTTAATGTCATTGAAAACTGCTGCACTAAGTATCACTCACACTTTATACTTCTTACTTGAAAATAAAAAGGTTATTTTCTGAAAGAGTTTTTCATTTTGTAATTTAGCTAATTTTATATCTTACTTGACTTATTCTATCTATATTTAGTGATTTACGTGCATGTTATTGTGAACATTATCTTGTAGGAATATGAGGTCGAATTCCTACTACATCAAGTGTGGTACGACCCAAGACTCACTTACAACGATAGGGGTCACTATAGGTACTTAAACGGAATGAAGCACCTTCACAGAATCTGGACACCTGACACCTACTTCATCACGCACGGCGACTTCAAAGAACCACTAATGCCAATTCATCTTGCCTTACAGGTGTCTCCAGATGGAAAGGTGTTTCACACTCAGAGGTGTGTACTCACACACTTATACACGTAGGAAAACGTTAAAAAGTAGGGAGATCTGAAATATAAGTGAATGATGTCGTTAGCTCCAACATATATTTGATTTATTTCATTTTTGTAATTTAGATACTTTCACATCTATTGAAATGATAAATATAGAAACTACTTATTTCTGTTTCATTATATATCATAAAAATGAAATAAATGAGTAAAATGTAAATAAAACATTTAAGCAAGTTTAATATATTACCATTCTTCGCCCAGGAGGAAACCACTGGTATTTCTCAATGTGTTCAATCAAATATAGCCAAGTAATTTAGATGATTTTAATACGCAAAAAAAGAAAATACAATAGAATTCCTACTGCCGCTAGATGACCCTCTATATATATATATATATATGATTACATGTAAATCGAACAAAAATTATGGTGACTTAAATATCAATAAAAGAAAGAAAAGACCAACTTTGCAATTATGATCTTAGTAAATGATCTACTCCACATACTTTCTATATCATTTTTCATTTCCAGGAGAGAGGTGACTTTGAACTGTGAAGGCAACCTTGGCATCTTTCCATTCGACAATCCAAAGTGTCCTTTTTCCCTCGAAAGTAGTATGTTGATTTATATGAATTATTAACTAATTAAACTTCTACTCAAGATAAATTTCCAAAATAAACTTCAATTTCGGTTGACAAACTTCCTAGGAAAATAGAACTTGAGAGGATTGTTCTTAATCCATTATTTGTGTTTATCGTGATAAGCACTTAATCGTTGTTTAGTAAATTTCGGATTAAGTCCTAGAGAAAATGTTGATTGTGTGATTTTCTGTATAATTATCCCTGTGGTTAGTGCATGTTGAATTTAACCATAATCCTTACAGTAAAATGATGGAAGGACTTGCTCTACATCATGAGGAAATACATTGAATTACAAATTTAAACACTTTCTGAATAATTAGTTTCGCGGTATAGTCTATTCAAACGTATCGTTACATCAACAGTTACAGTGATAAACACACCCGAAACAAGGACGTAAAAAAAAACTAAATGCAGGCTCTAGAACACCTAGAGATCTTAGCAATACTGAACAATTTAAAGGAATAAAATATATAACCCTGTGAAATATTTTGTGATTGAGAAATGTATTTAGAAAGTGAATAACTTTCCTTGTTCCTCTAACCCGATCGGGCAATATCCTGCAATTAGAATTACATAAGAAATTTTCATCTTAAAAACAACAACGTTAGTTAAATCATTGTTGGACTTACAACAGAGAACTTACTTCTTTGTGATATGCAGCACTTTGTTGGCAATTTGCTACAATGAACTGTAGCGTTATGTTACCAACAGCGAAGAAAGATACAGCAACGTTACCTTTATCAATGGTTGGCTAATTGAATCTATTTTTCTTTTCCGATGCATACGTTTTTGGCGATTATTTAATGTGGTATTGTTGCGCAAGTGTGGTGCGTTATGGAGGAACTCATATCTAACACAACTATAACATTCCTTAATATGAGAGAACAATGGCGTTCTAATACATCTACTGTCATTAGTCCACCATTCGGAAAGAGCATTGGTAAATATAACACCTAGTCTACTTTTCGGACAGTAACATTGATAAATAAACTAGTAGTTTACTTCTCGGACAGAAACATTGATGAATAAATCACTAGTCTACTTCTCGAACAGTAACATCACAAGTAAAATACTAGTCTACTTTTCGGAGAGGAACATTGATACATATAACACCTAGTCTACTTCTCGAACAGTAACTGACAAGTAAAGTACTAGTCTACTTTTCGGAGAGGAACATTGATACATATAACACCTAGTCTACTTCTCGGACAGTAGCATTGATAAATAAGATATTAGTCTCCTTCTTTAACAGGAGCATTGATAAATAAAACACTAGTCCACTTTTCAGACTGTAGCAGTGATAATTATAACACCTGTTTACTTATCGGACAGTAGCATTGATAAATAAAACACTAGTTTACTTCTCGGACAGGAGCATTGATAACTAAAACACCAGTCTATTTCTCGGACAGGAGCATTGATAAATATAATTCTAGTCTACTTCTCGGACAGAAGTATTGATAAATAAAACACTAGTTTATTTCTCGAACAGGAGCATTCATAAATAAAACACTAGACTACTTCTCGAACAGGAGCATTGATAAATAAGATACTTGTTTACTTCTTTAACAGGAGTATTGATAAATATAACACTAATCCACTTTTCGGACAGTAGCATTGATAATTATAACACTAGTCTACTTGTTGAACAGGAACATTGATAAATTAAACGCTAATCCACTTTTCGGACAGGAGCATTAATAAATAAAATACTAGTCTACTTCTTGAACAGTAACATTGATAAGTAAAATACTAGTCTACTTCTCATACAGTAACATTGATAAGTAAAATACTAGTCTCTTTATCGGACAGGAGCATTGATAAATAAAACACTGGTCTACTTCTCATACAGTAACATTGGTAAATAAAACACTGGTCCACTTCTCATACAGTAACATTGATAAGTAAAATACTAGTCTCTTTATCGGACAGGAGCATTGATAAATAAAAGACTAGTCTACATATCGGACAGTAGCATTGGTAAATAAAACACTGGTCTACTTCTCATACAGTAACATTGGTAAATAAAATACTAGTCTACTTCTCATACAGTAACATTGATAAGTAAAATACTAGTCTCTTTATCGGACAGGAGCATTGATAAATAAAACACTAGTCTACTTCTCGGACAGTAACATTGGTAGATAAAACACTGGTCCACTTTTCGGACAGTAGCATTGATAAGTAAAACGCTAGTCTACTTCTCGGACAGTAACATTGATAAGTATAATGGTAGTCTATTTCTCGGACAGGTGCATTGATAAGTATAATGGTAGTCTATTTCTCGGACAGGAGCATTGATAAATAAAACACTAGTCTACTTCTCATACAGTAACATTAATAAATAAAATACTAGTCTACTTCTCATACAGGAGCATTGATAAGTATAATGGTAGTCTATTTCTCAGACAGGAGCATTGATAAATAAAACACTAGTCTACTTCTCGGATAGTAGCATTAATAAATGAAGCACTAGTCTACTTCTCGGACAGGAGCATTGATAAATAAAAGACTAGTCTATCTCTCTGTCAGGAGCATTGATAAATAAAACACTAGTCTACTTCTTGGACAGTAACAATAATAAATAAAATACTAGTCTACTTCTGATACAGGAACATTGATAAGTATAATGGTAGTCTATTTCTCGGACAGGAGCATTGATAAATAAAAGACTAGTCTATCTCTCTGTCAGGAGCATTGATAAATAAAACACCAGTTTGCTTCTCGTACAGGAGCATTCATAAATAAAACACTAGTGTACTTTTCGGCAGGAGTATTGATAAATATAAAAGAATGCTTAAGTAACAAACAAAATTCTTAATCTAGTATTGTTTCCGGTTAGGCAGAGATGACCACAAAATTGAGTAACAAGAAAGAATTTGTCATTGATTTAAGGAACTAACTGTTATTTATATCATGTTTGTGAAAGTAAACACTAAAGTAGATCAGGGTAGTATATTCAAAGTTGTAGTAATTCCACATCAACGTACAGAGCTGGTGATAGTTGGCTCTTTCATAATCAAAACATGTTTTGAAGTGTTCAAGGCTTGGCCAGGTGGTTAGGGCACTCGACTCGCAATCTGCGGGTCACGGGTTCGAATCTGTCATACCAAACATGCTCGCCCTTTCAGCCGTGGGGGCGTTATAATGTGACGGTCAATCTCTCTATTCGTTGGTTAAAGAGTAACCCAAGTGTTGCCGGTGGGTGGTGATGACTAGCTGCCTTCCATCTAGTCTTACAATGCTAAATTAGGGACGGCTAGCTCAGGTAGCCCTCGTGTAGCTTTGCGCGAAATTCAAAAACCAAACCAAGTGTTCAAGGTTGTTGTTGATTGTTTACAATTTTATAATCAAGACATGTTTTTGAGTGATTCAAGTTCTTATTGTAATAATGTGTAGCTTTATATTTTCCATTTCTTCAAACTCAGACTCATTTTTTTCTGGAAATTAAAGATTATGCTTAAATATATATATTTTTTTTATGTATTGCTATTGCGGGTACTTAGTTAAATGTATGTTATTTTTCCTTAATTGCCATAAGTCGTGAATGGTTTTTGATTGCGTGACTGAGAGTTAATATAACTGCTTTGTTTAGGAAGAAAAGGAAGCTAAATACAGGAACGGTTAAATACTATGAAATATTTAAAACAACTATTAAACAGCTTTTGTTTGTATATGTGTACCATTATATTTGATTGACAATAGCGAAACAACAGAATGATTGAATTAGAGAAGCATTCAATTTGAGTAATATAACAACTGTTAATAAAAAGTGTAACAATAGAGTTTCAGAAAATGTTTTATAAAACAGTCAAACAATATAATGCATGAGTCAGTTTTATTCAAAACAGTTTAACAAATGCTTATATAACAATATAATATCTGAGTTAACTTTGTAAGAACAATCTTACAATTTAAAGTTTGAGGTCAATGGTTATAAGAATAGTATAACAATATAATGTCCTAGATAAGTATTTACAAGATAGGTCAAACAGTATAGTACCGGAGTTCATAAGAAGAGTAAAATGAAATATCTGAGTAAAGTACTTATAAGAGCAGTCAAACAATATATTACCTGAGTTAAGTGTTGATAAGAGTAAACAATATAATATCAGACTTAAGTGTTAATAAGGGCAAACGATATGATACTTGAGTTTAGTGTTGATAAGGGCAAACAATATAATACCTCAGTTAACTGTTGATAAGAGCAGTGAAACAATATAATACCTGAGTTAAGTGTTGATAAGAGCAGCAAACAATATAATACCTCAGTTAACTGTTGATAAGAGCAGTCAAACAATATAATACCTGAGTTAAGTGTTGATAAGAGCAGTCAAACAATATAATTCCGGAGTTAAGTGTTTTTAAAAGCTGTTATGTAATATATCTTTAATTCCGTATACGCGCTGTTAAAACAATGTAATGACATTATTTGTATATACCAGATTGGAACATTAAAACAAAGCAACGCCATCTATTATTTGTACATAAAAATACAATTTTCATGCGTATATTTCATTGCAAAAATTGAAAAATAGCCCGGTTATAATACTTATGTTCTGATACAGCAATGTTATAGGTTAATAGATAATATTATATATATATATATATATATATATATATATATATA